AGAATAAGTAATAGTTTGTCACGATTTTACAGAAAAAGTCAAAAGTATAGTTTGTCTGAAAAAAATATATATATATATATATGGAAAAGTCATTGTGTACAATAGTATGTTGAAAAACAAAAACAAAAAAAGAAAACTCAATTCATTACAAAATAATGAATATTTTACCAAGTTATAAAGTTTTGCATCCATTAAAGTGTAACTATAAGTATCTTTGTAGGAGAAAAAACAAAAAAATAATTTAAGTTACTTCCATAAAACTGGATTGTCTTACCTTTAAGAGTCACAGTCTTAAAGAAAATCTGTTCAGAAAAAGTACTTAACTTTCTACCAGTTGTAAAGTTGTCATACATAAAACTGTATCCAAAAAGTAAGTGAAAGAGAACGGGAGAAAAAAAAAAAAACTTCCCCTTTTAGAGTCACAGTCTTTAAGAAAATACATTTTATTACAAAAATAATTGACATTCTACCAGTTGCCAAATGTTCCTACATTAAAGTGTATCAAAAAGTATCTTGGTAGCTGAAAATAACTAAAATATCAGAGAAAACCTACATTATTTAACTGTACAAGTGTTTTTAAAAGTTTTGCATACCTCAAAGTGTGTCAAAAAGTATCTTGACATGAGAAAAATGCCAAAATCTGCCTTGTGTCAGTGAATAAGTGTTAAAATCACAAACTTATAGATAAGCTAGAGGCTATTTTAGATTTGTCTATTAGAGTTAAAGGGTTAAATAACATTTTCAACTGCTGTTCATAGTTACTTGATACATAACGAACCTCATCATTATCTCGATTTTCTACTTCCATTTTTATTTAACAGTGAAACGTCTTATTTTAGTACAGTCTAGTCAGAGGAGTTAATACTATTACTATATATGAAAGCAAAAATAAAACACATTTTCATTTGTTATGGTTGCTTAATTGAAAAACACACCATTCGCCACATTTTCAGAAAGACATATTACATTTGACCAAGTTAATGTCGTAGTGCATACAAGGTAATAGACTTAACGATTTGCACTGCTGCTTCTCTCCGCGTTTCATTTACAGTGATCGGTTTATCGTTCAATTCACATTGCCCAAGTAGATGTTTAGGGGTCTCTTGGAAGTAAATGAATGCATTTTTTTATATCAGATAAGTGCATTAACATCACTTGCAAATTCTCTATCCTTTCACCCGCAACGATTATAATCTGCTTTGCTTCTTCTTCGGTTTCACCATTATTAGCTCTGAATGTAATCCTTTCTGGGGCTTCTTGTGCTTCTTGTGGTCTGTTGAATACCTGGCATAGGATTTGTTTAGCTGTAAGGACGGGTACCATATAATTGTCTTCAAAAGCTGGAAATTCTTACAAGTTCCCCCTCCTCAAAGTTCATTCCCGTAGCACCTTTCCCCCACTGATGCTAGTGACCCCCCTTTGTATGCTAATTACCCCTTTGTTCGAGGCGTTATCACATGTAGGTGTGTTCAGTTAAACACTGAGATTTTCAACATACTACTCTTTTGACAAACTATACTTGACTTTTTTACGGAAAATCATGACACACTTTAATGTGACTTATTCTTAATTTTACCATACTAAAGTAAGACTTGAAAATACTATATCGTTTTCTAGTTTTTTTATATTATACATCCTTATTTATGTTTGTGTGCTGAGAAAACACAATAAGCAATAGCGTTTTAACAAGCAGTTTAAACTGTCTGTGTCAGTTTTACTTATCTCCATATTAAGTGATTATATAATATGACAGTGATCATTTCTATGTTTATTCATTGCAAATACTTAGTTACTTACCACTTGAACTGTTTAGCTCTTCAAGGTTAACTGACCTAATATATACACTTTTTTTTGTAGTATTGTCACCACGTTCTTAAGAATTATATGGACGAGTTGGCAGCTGCCATGGCTGGACTGTCAATCAAAAGTTACCAGTTATCAAGCGATGGTATGGACAACTTAACAGCTGACTTGGCTAGACTTACTATGAGGAGTCAGCAGGTAACAGATGAGTGTGTGAATGAAATAACAGCTGTCTTCAGAGGACTCTCCACTAATGCACAGCAGCTTCCTGTTAGTGCCTGCACTGAGAATCCTCAAATACAGAGACAAGTCACTTTGTCCACGCTCCCTGAGACCCTCAAGCCCACTAATGCCCAGGTGAATAATATTGACTTGTGTTAGTTTTACTTAAACTTACTTACAATAAGTGATCATAATATGACAGTGATATCTTCTATGTTCATGCATTGCAAATACTTAATTATTTTTTGTTAGTTCTTTAAGGTTATATAACCATATGTTTGTCACCAGGTAACAAGTGATCATTTGGAAAAATGTATCCCAGCCTTTGAAAAAACTCAAAGGGAGAGGACAGTGAAGGCCATGAAGCCAAAGCCAAGACGTGGTGGAGTGCTGCGCAGGTATGTTCTCTAACAGCAACACTCTATTAAACATGTCTTTATTGACTACAGCTTAAGTTCATCCTATCATAAGGCTAAAAAGTATCTTAGTAACAAAAACAAAAGCAAAAAGCATTAATGTTAACAACGCCTCAAAGGGCGGACTCCTGAGTTCCATGGCACTTGGACTATTTACATCATCCAGGGCTCAACACCAGTAAATACACCTCTCTTTATCCGCTCTCCAAGCCTCCAAGGGCGGACTCCTGAGGTCCGTAATGCCCCCCTAACATGACACTTAGACTATTTACATCATCTAGGGAAGCACACCAGTAAATGTAGCCTCATGTAACTTCATATAGGGATTCTTTAATAGTTGTGTGAAGTAATTAAACAATAAGGGGGTATTAAGATCTTTAAATTATAATTTTCCTCTCAAAGAGACTTCATTGCACACACACACACACAAACAAAACAACATTAAATAATGACATGATATTATAGTGATAACACATATTGTGTAGAAAAGAGATCTCCTGTATGGGTTGATTGCGCGTTGATCTGTTGGTAAATGCTCATCTATCATTTTCAACCAAGCAGCATGAGGTCAAATTTAATAAGTAATAGTTTGTCACGATTTTACGGGAAAAAGTCAGAGCACAATGTCACATCTTAAAGACAGCTTGAACTGGATAGATGGTTAGTCTTTTTTCAAACATACCATATGTTCTGCATGATAGTATATTTGGCCAAATCAGGTTAGGCCCCACTGCCCCACTCCCTCAATAGGGAAGTCACGCTTTGGGAAGAGGTGTTTAATTTCACAGATCTGACTTGATTGTTGTTGTGATGGCTGAAGTAAGAGGGACGGGGGAGGAAAATTCAGAGGGTGAAGAAGCAGAAAGATAACTTGTTTGTAAAACGGACAGCACGTCAGTTTCAGGAAAGATGACACCGGTTTTATGCATGACATGCCCAATATCCTGAAGCCCTACAAAAAAAAAAGTATATTGTGTTGAAAATATCGCAAAAAGCCATAATATTGTATAATGTAATAGTTGCATGTTGTATTTTGATACAAATCACTGTATATTCAAAAATATAATGGAGAGAAAAAAATATATATATATCACAGTATGTTGAAAAATATGAAAAAAGTAATGTTGTGTTAAAATAATATGAAAGAAATCAAAAGTAAAGCATCTAAAAACATATATTTAAAAAAAGTAATGTTAGTCAAGTCAAGTTATCAAAACTGCATTGTTTCATCGAAACAGTGTTAAAATCACAAACTCTCCATTTAGAGTTTGATTCTTGAAGAAAACTCAATTCATTACAAATGAATGAATATTTTACCAAGCTATATAGTTTTCCATACATAAACGTGTATCTTACAGTTCCTTTGTGAGAGAATTACGCACAAATTGCAGTATTTTATCTGTTTTATGTGCACTGTTGGAGGAGCCTGTGACCTATGTTTTTCATTGACATATCTACACTGTAGCTAATGGGCATATGCCATAAAGCCTTGAAACTTGAAACTTAAAATGATCAGAAACTGCATTGTCTCACTGAAAACAGCTCTAAAGAAAACCCAATTCCATACAAAGTACTTAACTTTCTACCAGTTGTAGAGTGGTGCTTACTTCAAAAGTGTATCTAAAGTTGCATCACTTATGTGACATACAAGAATAGTGTGTGACAGACAAAAGATGTCCTGTATGGGTTGATTGCGCACTGGACATAAACGCTAGTAAAGTCTAATCTGACGGGGGAGACCCGCTGTTGCTGACGAGTCGAAGGGGGAAGGGGTGATAGGGGGAAGAGGTGAGAGGAGGACGGGGTGCGAGACAGTCTCACACAACTTCAAAGAGACTACCTTGACAATAGTTACAAACACTGATCAAAGGACATACATCAAAGGGCTAATTTGATTGACATCAAAGGCTTATAACACACCGGTGCACACACACACCTACATGTTATAACACCTCCCAACTTACATCAAAGGACAGACATCAAAGGGCTAATTTGATTAGACAACAAGGGGTCAGACATCAATGGCTAATTAGATTATACAACAAAGGATCTACTACAATGGGGAGTTAACACCTACATGTTACAAAACACCTCACCCCTCACATCAAAGGATAGACATCAAAGGGTAATTAGATTAGACAACAAAGGGGGCAGACATCAAAGGCTAATTAGATTATACAACACAGGATCTACTACAACAGGGGATATCACACCTACATGTCACAAACACCTCACCCCTCACATCAAAGGATAGACAACAAAGGGATCAGACATCAAAGGCTAATTAGATTACACAACAAAGGATCTACTACAATGGGGGAATATCACACCTACATGTGATAACACCTCGAACAAAGGGGCTCATTAACATAATTAGGGGGCGGGACTTAGCATAAGTAGTAGTACTGATAGGGCAGGTGTGACCTGTCACTTTTTATGCATACTAATGTGATTGAAGGGGCATTTGTAATACTACTTCCGTGAAAGGCGAGGCTGCGTATTTCCCATGTAGAAAGTTTAAGGCTCATCATCATGACGCATCGTTCACCGTAAAAGGCTTCAAAGACTGGAAGCATGCTTACAAAAGGACACGGGTCTTAGCAAACACAGCTCTTCCAAGGAACATTTTGTGTGTGAGAAATTGTGGAGAGAAAAACAAATGTGCATCGAGACTGGTCAGGAAATCACAACTCTTGTCAACAAAGATCAGCTGGCTCGTAACAGATATCACTTGGGCTCCATTATTGACATTGGAAAAAATAAATAAATGAAATCACCATAAAAAAGTCAAATCAAAGCAATATTCTTTCAGTCTCAGTTGCTTACAAATACTGAAACATGAAACCAGAACACAATCAAAAGTCACCTTCATACTGTCTAATTACGCTTTCTTTATACATGTTCTGAAACATCAAAATGTTCTTACAGCCCTTTAAATCATTCGGCAAAGAATTCCACTTCTTTACTCAAGAGACACATCTGCTTTAAAGCAGTACGTGCAAACGTGCGGTCACCACTAGATGCACTTTAACACAGGGGTATCCTCTCTTGCACTTTGTGTATCCATGCTGCTATGTTGTTTTGCCATGTCATAAATACTTGTGTATTCTGCTCTTGCTCTTTTGCACTTTTCTTGTATTTCATGTATTTGTATCTGCTATGTTTGTAAATGTCATGTTCTTAATGTTTGATGTGAGGGACTGCGGATGGAAAGTAGCTCAAAGCTAAATCCGGCATATTTACGCTTGGCACATTTATAGTTTTAAGTGTTCATTAAAGTGCAATGTCCCTACCAAATAAACCATTACAATAAATAAACTAACTGAAGCTTAGAATGTAATCTCCTCCTATGATGCTCAGCCTCTGAAATTAAAACTAATGTGTTTTGTATATTCTCTGGCAGTATTCTGTTGTTTGCTTTATGCATAACTAAAGCCGTCTGTAATTCTATTACATCTTTAAATGTTAACAGCCTTGACTCAATAATCTGTTTGTTTGTTCTCTAGGTTGAACATTATGCAACATTCTCACAGCTTTTCTCTGTAATGTAATGAAAGGTTTTAAATGACTCATCGAGGTGTATATATGAGTCTATGAGTCAGCTGCATGCTGGCTCTGCTTGCTTGATGTGTAGCGTCGCTGTTCATCCATGGTGCGGCGTTACTTTTGTGCCTCTATCCTGAACACGCTATGAAACATTTTGAGGATAGGAAATGTTATTGAGCGCGCAATTTAACATGATGTAACTTTAGAAAACAATGTTCCTGTTTGAAATAACTCCAGGTTTAATAATCTGTTCAGAGTGAAACAGGGTTTTAATGTCAGAGATGATGCAGAAACAATCCACTGATAATCTGGAACTTTAACTTTGATCAGATGTTGAACAACTCCTTCATCTCCCTCACAGCTCATCAGTACTGACAGCATCTCTACTGACTCATGGAGCACAGAGTGAGTCTGTGGAAGCTCAAACTCTCTCCCTCACACATTCACCTTCTCTCTGTTACTCTGATCAATATTCAGTCATTAGCAAAAACGGAACAAATAACAATAACATTGTATTTGTTCAAATTCAGAAAATCATAAACACAAACAGATCAATATGAACTGCAGTCAGTGAACTGACCTGAGAGCCTCCAGTCTGCAGTTTGGACTCTTTAGTCCAGAACTCAGCAGCTCCACTCCTGAATCCTTCAGAGCGTTCTCACTCAGGTCCAGAACTCTCAGATGGATGTTGGACTTCAGAGCTGAGGCCAGAGCAGAACAGCTGATCTTTGACAACCTGCAGCGCCTCAGACTGAATAAAGAAAACATGATGAGGATAAACATCTGTTTATAATCCAATCAGATGTTACTCAACATTTAAATGAATCTGAACAGAAACATCTGTCTACTTCAGAAAGTGAACTTTATCATGTAAAACTAAAATGACTTCAGATGACCTTTATTCAGACGTTATCATTTACTAAATATTAAATACATAGATTTACTTTTTACAACTAACATCTATTACAGTTACTTTAAGAAACACTCAACATTTATGTCTGCAATTCTTTCTTCTTACTTTTAAAAATGAAACATGAATATAAGGACATTTACAACTTTATGGATGGAAGTTATTAATGAATATAAATGAGGTTCAATGACAAAGTGAACATGTGAGATCTCCAGCAGTAACAGAGAGTCAGTGAACTGACATGAGAGTCTCCAGTCTGCAGTCTGGACTCTCCAGAATATCACTCAGCAGCTCCACTGAATCCTGCAGAGTGTTGTGACTCAGGTCCAGATCTCTCAGATGGATGTTGGACTTCAGAGCTGAGATCAGAGCAAAACAGCTGATCTCTGACAAACTGCAGTCCTTCAGTCTGAATAAACAAAACATGATGAGGATAAACATCAGTTTATAATCCAATCAGATGTTACTCAACATTTAAATGAATCTGAACAGAAAAATCTGTCTACTTCAGAAAGTGAACTTTATCATGTATGTAATAGAAACATATTATACTGACTTACTTACTTTAATAATATCATTGTGTGATTCTTATTTGCTAATGTTTCTCTATATTTGCTACTTCTCACTCTTCTTAGCTAAGCTTGGGGAAAGTCCTTATGAAGAAGATGTGTTGCAGTGTTGTTAGTGACTCTCTATGTGCACCAACAGTATGACCTTCACCTCAGGTGAACTGAGGACTTCCTGATACGGCCTCCCTAACTCCCTAACTCCCAGAATGCTCCTTCATCATCACCAAGCTTCCCCCCTCCCTTTCTCCTCTCTCTGTGTTTAAATATGCAACCCAAACTCTACTCTTCCTCTTCCTCTCTGCAGACTGTATGCTCTCTGTGTGACTGACTGAACTTTCTTCAAGAAATAAGATACCACAAAGAGCTGAATGCTTTGATTCTCTCTCCACATTTGATCAATAAATTCCCACCACAATGTCAAACTAAAATGACTTCAGATGACCTTTATTCAGACGTTATCGTTTACTAAATATTAAATACATAGATTTACTTTTTACAGCTAACATCTATTACAGTTCCTTTAAGAAACAGTCAACATGTATGTCTGCAGTTCTTACTTCTTACTCTTAAAAATGAAATATGAATATAAGGACATGTACAACTCTATGGATGTAAGTTATTAACGTATGCCCCCCCCCCCATCCAGGATTTGGGCCCATGAGAAATCAGGGCTGATTAAAAACATTGAATTGTTGTATTATTATGTTTAGTGTTGTTATTTGTAGAGCTTTGTCCTAATATTTATCTTTGTATTAAACTATGTTGAGAGATTAGTGTAATATCATGTTTTTATTTAGCTATGAAACTCTGAATGAAAGTCTGCGTGATCTTGGAGATGTTAGTTTTCTACTTCCAGAGGACCTTGGCGTGGATAAACCAAAACAGGAAGTCCTGGATAGTTTCCCCTCTCGGATCTTCTCCGGGAAACAAACGTAGTGTTTCCAGCTCATGGTACCAAAACCCACCCTGGCTTGAATACTCCGTGAAAGGCGAGGCTGCGTATTTCCCATGTAGAAAGTTTAAGGCTCATCATCATGACGCATCGTTCACCGTAAAAGGCTTCAAAGACTGGAAGCATGCTTACAAAAGGACACGGGTCTTAGCAAACACAGCTCTTCCAAGGAACATTTTGTGTGTGAGAAATTGTGGAGAGAAAAACAAATGTGCATCGAGACTGGTCAGGAAATCACAACTCTTGTCAACAAAGATCAGCTGGCTCGTAACAGATATCACTTGGGCTCCATTATTGAAATTGGAAAAAATAAATAAATGAAATCACCATAAAAAAGTCAAATCAAAGCAATATTCTTTCAGTCTCAGTTGCTTACAAATACTGAAACATGAAACCAGAACACAATCAAAAGTCACCTTCATACTGTCTAATTACGCTTTCTTTATACATTTTCTGAAACATCAAAATGTTCTTACAGCCCTTTAAATCATTCGGCAAAGAATTCCACTTCTTTACTCAAGAGACACATCTGCTTTAAAGCAGTACGTGCAAACGTGCGGTCACCACTAGATGCACTTTAACACAGGGGTATCCTCTCTTGCACTTTGTGTATCCATGCTGCTATGTTGTTTTGCCATGTCATAAATACTTGTGTATTCTGCTCTTGCTCTTTTGCACTTTTCTTGTATTTCATGTATTTGTATCTGCTATGTTTGTAAATGTCATGTTCTTAATGTTTGATGTGAGGGACTGCGGATGGAAAGTAGCTCAAAGCTAAATCCGGCATATTTACGCTTGGCACATTTATAGTTTTAAGTGTTCATTAAAGTGCAATGTCCCTACCAAATAAACCATTACAATAAATAAACTAACTGAAGCTTAGAATGTAATCTCCTCCTATGATGCTCAGCCTCTGAAATTAAAACTAATGTGTTTTGTATATTCTCTGGCAGTATTCTGTTGTTTGCTTTATGCATAACTAAAGCCGTCTGTAATTCTATTACATCTTTAAATGTTAACAGCCTTGACTCAATAAACGGTTTGTTTGTTCTCTAGGTTGAACATTATGCAACATTCTCACAGCTTTTCTCTGTAATGTAATGAAAGGTTTTAAATGACTCATCGAGGTGTATATATGAGTCTATGAGTCAGCTGCATGCTGGCTCTGCTTGCTTGATGTGTAGCGTCGCTGTTCATCCATGGTGCGGCGGTACTTTTGTGCCTCTATCCTGAACACGCTATGAAACATTTTGAGGATAGGAAATGTTATTGAGCGCGCAATTTAACATGATGTAACTTTAGAAAACAATGTTCCTGTTTGAAATAACTCCAGGTTTAATAATCTGTTCAGAGTGAAACAGGGTTTTAATGTCAGAGATGATGCAGAAACAATCCACTGATAATCTGGAACTTTAACTTTGATCAGATGTTGAACAACTCCTTCATCTCCCTCACAGCTCATCAGTACTGACAGCATCTCCACTGACTCCTGGAGCACAGAGTGAGTCTGTGGAAGCTCAAACTCTCTCCCTCACACATTCACCTTCTCTCTGTTACTCTGATCAATAATCAGTCATTAGCAAAAACGGAACAAATAACAATAACATTGTATTTGTTCAAATTCAGAAAATCATAAACACAAACAGATCAATATGAAGTGCAGTCAGTGAACTGACCTGAGAATCTCCAGTCTGCAGTTTGGACTCTTTAGTGCAGAAATCAGCAGCTCCACTTCTGAATCCCTCAGAGTGTTCTCACTCAGGTCCAGATCTCTCAGATGGGAGGGGTCAGACTTCAGAGCTGAGGCCACGACTTCACATTCACTCTCTGAGAGTCCATAGAGTCCATAGGGTCGAGAGCCACCAAGTCTATAATAAAACATATATTACAACATGTGTTAAAAAGAGGAAACATTATATTAACATCAAGCATTTGATGAAAAAATATTTGACATGTTCTGATAGACCTTTGCTGTTAGTCCATGTAATATAATATATAATAATATATGATAATAGAGTGTAATGAGTTGTCAGTGTGATCTGATCACATGTCTGTGCTCCTGCTGTCACTGACTGTTACCAAAAGAAACAGAAATTAAATGAATCACTTGACAATATTAGAGATGTACATATTTAAATGTTAGTTAATATGTGGATGTGAATGATGGATGAAGGATGCTTTGGCCCATTGTCCCTATCACTGGGGAAACACCAGAGGAGATACAGAAAGATTCCTATCTATTTCTGGTCATTAGAAAAGCCATCATCAAACTAATGATGAGGAATTGTCTAAAAGATAATAACTTAGTGAACTCACAATGGAGTAACTTAGTTAATGAAATCTATGTAACGGAGAAAACAACTAGATTAGAAACCAAATGCATATCTTTGAGGAAAGGTGGGAGGAATGGGTCAGTATAGAACAATACAGTGAATATAATTAATGTGTACCTGAGTATTCATAATGTATTCATAATGTATCCATTCTTTCATTTGTAATATTATTAATGCTATTATCCTATTATGTCTTTTCTGATTTCTCATCTGTTATGTAGTTCATCTTGTACTTAGATGTGTTTATTTGGTTGTGTATGCTTTGTGAATATTTGCTTAAAAAGCAAAGAAAAAAGCAAAGAAAGTAATAATAACATGTTTCTGTGATAACTGTAAGTCCTGCTGTGTGGTGTAATCACATGCTGAGAAAGCTCTCAAGTCCTTCATGTGTTTGACATGTCGCCTCCATCACTCAATATGAAGAGAGGAACGCTTCAGTTTAACTATTATTATAAATAAATAGAAGAACAGTGTTGGCTTATTTTGCTCTCAGTATTTAAACAGCAGAAATGTTATCGTGTTTATTTGAATAATTAAACTCCTGATCTACATTAGTTTATAAAGTTAATCACATCTGGACTTACTTGAACTTCCTGCAGTTCCTCACAGCTGGAAGCAGTCTCCGTCGTCCCTCATCTGATGTTTTGTACTGATCCAGGTCCAACTCATCCAGAACCTCCTCTGACATCTGCAGCATGTAGGCCAGAGCAGAGCAGTGGATAACAGAGAGTTTCTTCTCTGATCTGTTCTCTGACTTCAGGAACTCTGTGATCTCCTGATGAACTGAGTGGTCCTTCATCTCTGTCAGACAGTGGAAGATGTTGATGCTCCTGTCAGGAGAGATATAATAACCTCTCATCTCCTTCAGGTTGCTGATGGCTCTCTGGATGATTTCTGGTCTGTTGTCTGTGCGACCCAGCAGGCCTCCTAACAGTCTCTGGTTGGACTCCAGAGAGAGGCCGTGGAGAAAGCGGACAAACAGGTCCAGGTGGCCATTTTCACTTCTGAGGGATTTCTCCATGGCTCTCTTCAGGAAGTCATCCAGGGATGGGTAATCATCATCATCATCATCACTGCTATCATTGTCTTCGTCCCGGTCTCTCTTCAGGAAGTTCTTCAGTACCTTTGTGTTCCTGTTGGTGTAACAGTGCAACATGTAGACTGCAGCCAGAAACTCCTGAATGCTCAGATGAACAAAGCAGTAGACTGTTTTCTGGAAGATCACTCTCTCTCTTTTGAAGATCTGTGTACAAACTCCTGAGTGCACCAAGGCCTCGGTGACATCAAGACCACAGCGCTGCAGGTCTTCTTGGTAGAACATGATGTCTCCTTTCTCCAGATGTTCAAACGCCAGCCTCCCCAGCTTCAGAAGAACCTCCCTGTCAGCCTCCGTCAGCTGCTGTGGACTCGTCTCATGTCCCTCTTCATACTTCTGCTTCTTCCTCTTGGTCTGGACCAGCAGGAAGTGTGAGTACATGTCAGTGAGGGTCTGGGGCAGCTCTCCTCTCTGGTCTGTAGTCAACATGTGGTCCAGAACTGCAGCAGTGATCCAGCAGAAGACTGGGATCAGACACATGATGTGGAGGCTCCTGGAGCTCTTGATGTGAGAGATGATTCTGCTGGACAGGTCTTCATCACTCCATCTCCTCCTGAAGTACTCCTCCTTCTGGGCGTCAGTGAAGCCTCGTACTTCTGTTACCCTGTCCACACACTCAGGAGGGATCTGATTGGCCGCTGCAGGTCTGGAAGTTATCCAGACGAGAGCCGAGGGAAGCAGCTTCCCCCTGATGAGGTTTGTCAGCAGCACGTTGACTGAGGACTGCTGTGAGACATCAGACACAACCTCATTGTTTCTGAAGTCCAGAGAAAGTCTGCTTTCATCCAGGCCGTCAAAGATGAGCAGCACTTTGCAGACAGCCAGCTGCTCTGCTGTGACCTTCTGTAAGGTTGGATGGAAAACATGGAGCAGCCTGAGAAGACTGTACTGCTCACCTTTGATCAGGTTCAGCTCCTTGAAGGAGAGCGGGATCACCAGACTGACATCTTGGTTTCCCAAACCCTCGGCCCAGTCCAGAGTGAACTTCTGCACTGAGAAGGTTTTTCCAACTCCAGCGACTCCGTTGGTCAGGACCGCTCTGATGAGAGTCTGTTGGTCAGGTAAGGCTTTAAAGATGTCCTGGCACTTGATTGGAGTGTCATGGAGGGTCTTCTTCTTGGAAGCTGTCTCCAGCTGCCTCACCTCATGCTGGGTATTAACCTCTTCACTCTGGCCTTGTGTGATGTAGAGCTCAGTGAAGATGCTGTTGAGGAGGGTTTCACTTTGATCAGTTCCTTCAGTCACACGTTCACATCTCCTCCTCAGACTGAGCCTATGTTCATCTAAAACCTCCTGCAGACCACTATCTGCTGGAAGAGAAGGAAACGTGAGAGAATGAGGGAAATGCTCTGAGAATCTAATTATAACAATAAAACAACAACAAACAGACTGAGTTTAAATGTTTTATAAACAGCTTACTGTCTATGCTCTACAACAGTATACCTGTTCAAACACACATGAACCAGGAAGAGGAATAAGACGCTGCATGTGTTCGGCCTCTTACCTCGTACAGAGCTGGTCTGACTGGCTGTCTGCAGTCCAGCTCTGGTTCTGGATCTTTCTCCACACTGGGGACAGGAGGAGTCTCCTGATGGAGGTCTCTGCTCCCAGTATGAGGTGATGCACTGTCTGCAGAACCAGTGTCCACAGCTGGTAGAGACTGGATCCTTCAGGACGTCCTGACACAGAGCACAGCTGGACAGCTGCTCCTCCACAGGAACACCACTCTTCCTCTTCCCTCTGTGGAGATGAACACATCCTTTACAGCACGTCACATTAGTGGAGCTGATTCTCACCAATGGGCAGAGCGTCACAAACGTCTCTCTCAAGACTCTTCTCCTCCAGTAGGACTCAGGTGAGGGTGTTGCACTTTTCATTGTTCATGTGATGTTTTGGTGTTGTTGTTGTTGTTGTTTTGTTTCTTTCCGTTAACTATCAAGTGGGAACTAAGTATTTTTGTTAGTAAGTGTTTGTGTTTCTCTTGTTATCCTACGATGCTGTGATGTGTGGCTGTGAATAAGAACATATAAAGGACAGACCATCTGTTTCTATTTCTTTAGAAAGGGGCAGGTCATATCAGATTATTTTCTTCTCCCAGCTCCTTTTCGGTCAATGGTGTGTTCATAGAGACATGTTTTGTAAATATTTGTTATACATTAAGTTGTGCATACCATGAACGGAACAAATACAAATGAAATGAAATGAAAGATGAAATGTGTCACGCTGCACGAATACGCAGGTGACATGAATTTCACCTCTTCACTTTCTTGGTGTCTCCAGGCACGGATCTGGGTCTTTGCATTGACTCTACATGTAATCACACAAAGCTCTGTTATATCTGCTGATGCTAAACACAACCAGCTCACCAGAGGCCTGTACTACGAAGCTGGTTCAACCTAACCTGGATATGTTTGAGTTAGCCGGTTGGCCCAATCCAAAACATACGCGCTCTCGCTAAACTGTACTACGACGCCGGTTATCAAGTGGATCGCTCAAGCCAGCCGTGTCCTATCTAGTTAGGTGCGCGTTCACATGAAAGGGGTGGTATTTGGAGCATTCGACCAATCACAAACATGGACAAGCGTACTGACAGCGCAGCGTCATACTTCCTGAATGAAAAGTGAACTTTAATATTAGTCAAATATGAAGAAGTTAAACTTTAAACATCCATGATTTAAACACTTTATCCAGGATCAAAGCCACATAGCTGCACCTGCAAGGTGAATACAGCTGGTAACAGAAAAAGTGTTTGAATGCGTACATTAACAGGTTTATGAAATCACTGCCCCGTCCAAGACACGATCTGACTTTAATTACATTTGACTCGAGTGTTTCGTCAACTTAATGTGTTGCTTAAAATAATACTTCTGCATACAGTATGTGACACTGTGAGTGTTGCACGGCCAGATACGGCTCAGCTGACTCAGATAAGGAAATATATGATACATTATGATGTGATATGATATGAATGATAATGGCACACATCGACGTCTGCACTCACAGTGCCGCGGACTGTACTTAATGTTACTCTGATCCGGTTACTTATGTTGTGGCAGATATTTAAGTAAGCTTTCTTAACGCTAATGTTATAATAGTCAGATTGCTCTGAAGATGGGAGGGGATATTCTATTAATTTTCACGTTCACACAGTCAGTTGATTTTTGCCGGCAGTCTTTCCTGCAACGGCAGTTTTTCTGTATTTCCTCTATCCTGTAATATGACTTGATCGCTTTAAACTCCGCACACGGAGCTCTGATTGGTCAGCAGGCGGTGCTTTCACTGAGTTGATCTCTTAGCCTGCCACCTAACCTGCTCCGGAGCAGGTTTGCCGCTCAGCATTAGTTACCATGGAAATCTGGCCTGCTAAAAAGAGAACCAGCGTCGTAGGACCGGAAAGCCCGAGATTTCCCTGAATTTAGCCGCTAAGCGAAAATCCAGCTTCGTAGTACAGGCCTCAGGTCATCACTATTATTAATAAACATCTTTAAAATACATATCATAAACATGCCCAAGTAGTAAATAATGTTTTGGACGATATATTTAGTTTTTAGTGAGTATTTATCAATATCTTTGCCATTTAAAACCTTTTTATGCCACTGATACAATGATGCTATAAATGCATATTGAAATATCCTCAAATAATGTTAGCTTGCTGTGCTCTGCTGCCTTTGTTCTGTACTATACTGCACACATGATATTATTAAAGAACAGTTTAATATATTAGATTATATAAAAACTGGATCCTCTTCAGGTCAGGTTACAGCAGAAACTCTTACTTTGTGTCTGAGGGTCCAGGTTCATTACTGAAGGTTATAGAACTAAGGAATTAAGGACACTTATGTGAATGTTAAGTGATGTATTTATTATGTGGGCCATAATAATATGTGAGAAATCTTCGTTTTCTTGGACCTTGATGTGAAGTTAAGATTTTTGATAAGCTTTAGGTATTGCAATTTCACACGTGTACAAAAGTATAGCTTAATTCAACTGATGAGGGCTAAGTGAATAAATGTAAGCGATGTGATGCAAGTAGCTCTTGGCCACTTTCATTTTTTGAAAGTAGCTCTCAGATGAAGAAAGGTTGGAGACCCCTGGTTTAAGGTGTTAGAGAAGGCGGGGCTTGGGAGGAGGCTAGTGGGATGGATTAGGAGAGTTTATGGTGGAGCAGTTAGTTGTGTAAAGGTGAATGGGATTTTAACTAATGTGTTTAGGCTAGGGAAGTCAGTCCGGCAAGGACGCCCTCTCTCGTCGATGCTGTATGCGTTGCCAGCGGAGCCACTGGCGGGCCTGCTGCAGCAGAATGAGGATGTGAAGGGAGTGGAGGTACCGGGGGGAACGTGTGGTGTATCAGTATGAGGATGTGAAGGGAGTGGAGGTACCGGGGGAACGTGTGGTGTATCAGTATGAGGATGTGAAGGGAGTGGAGGTACCGGGGAACGTGTGGTGTATCAGAAATGAAGGATGTGAAGGGAGTGGAGGTACCGGGGGAACGTGTGGTGTATCAGAATGAGGATGTGAAGGGAGTGGAGGTACCGGGGGAACGTGTGGTGTATCAGAATGAGGATGTGAAGGGAGTGGAGGTACCGGGGGAACGTGTGGTGTATCAGAATGAGGATGTGAAGGGAGTGGAGGTACCGGTGGGAACGTGTGGTGTATCAGAATGAGGATGTGAAGGGGGTGGAGGTACCGGGGGAAACGTGTGGTGTATCAGAATGAGGATGTGAAGGGAGTGGAGGTACCGTGGGGAACGTGTGGTGTATCAGAATGAGGAATGTGAAGGGAGTGGAGGTTCCGGGGGAACGTGTGGTGTATCAGAATGAGGATGTGAAGGGAGTGGAGGTACGCAGGGGGGGACACGTGTGGTGTATCAGAATGAGGAATGTGAGGAGTGGAGGTACCGGGGGAACGGTGTGTGGTATCAGAATGAGGATGTGAAGGGAGTGGAGGTACCGGGGGGAACGTGTGGTTTATCAGAATGAGGATGTGAAGGGAGTGGAGGTACCGGGGAACGTGTGGTGTATCAGAATGAGGATGTGAAGGGAGTGGAGGTACCGTGGGAATGTGTGGTGTATCAGAATGAGGATGTGAAGGGAGTGGAGGTACCGGGGGAACGTGTGGTGTATCAGTATGAGGATGTGAAGGGAGTGGAGGTACCGTGGGAACGTGTGGTGTATCAATATGAGGATGTGAAGGGAGTGGAGGTACCGGGGGAACGTGTGGTGTATCAGAATGAGGATGTGAAGGGAGTGGAGGTACCGGGGGAACGTGTGGTGTGTCAGAATGAGGATGTGAAGGGAGAGGAGGTACCGAGGGAACGTGTGGTGTATTAGAATGAGGATGTGAAGGGAGTGGAGGTACCGGGGGAACGTGTGGTGTATCAGTATGAGGATGTGAAGGGAGTGGAGGTACCGTGGGAACGTGTGGTGTATCAGAATGAGGATGTGAAGGGAGTGGAGGTACCGGGGGGAACGTGTGGTGTATCAGAATGAGGATGTGAAGGGAGTGGAGGTACCGGGGGAACGTGTGGTGTATCAGAATGAGGATGTGAAGGGAGTGGAGGTACCGGGGGAACGTGTGGTGTATCAGAATGAGGATGTGAAGGGAGTGGAGGTACCGTGGGAATGTGTGGTGTATCAGAATGAGGATGTGAAGGGAGTGGAGGTACCGGGGGAACGTGTGGTGTATCAGAATGAGGATGTGAAGGGAGTGGAGGTACCGGGGGGAACGTGTGGTGTATCAGAATGAGGATGTGAAGGGAGTGGAGGTACCGTGGGAATGTGTGGTGTATTAGAATGAGGATGTGAAGGGAGTGGAGGTACCGTGGGAATGTGTGGTGTATCAGTATGAGGATGTGAAGGGAGTGGAGGTACCGGGGGAACGTGTGGTGTATCAGTATGCTGATGACGCGACGATAACAGTTCAGGATATGGGGAGCATCAAAGGAGTGTTTGATAGTGTGGATCTATATAGTAGGGCTTCAGGGGCGATGGTAAACATAGAGGAATCAGAATGTATGGTCTTAGGGAAGGGAAGTGTGGGGAGAGTAGAAATAGGTCTGAAGAAAAACAAAGAGTACTTTAGAGCAGTGGTTCTCAAACCTTTTTCAATAATGTACCCCCTTTGAAAAAAAAATTCAGCCAAGTACCCCCTGATCAGCGCAAAAACTATTTGTTAGGGAAAAAAAGCCAATATAAAGAGGTACAGTACAGCGCTGCACCATCAGTGTCTGATTTATTAAAACAACATTGTAACTGAGAAACACTTAAATGCTACATTTCAAATGTTTACAATCCATCACGAAATTCATGGCAAACCAATTTCAACATCATGCAATAACACTAAGACGACATTAGTTGCATTGAACTGATCTTTTTAATAAGTTGTACTTACAATTT